TTCCCTAGAGGGCTCTCCTGACTTTTCGTATTAACGCCCGCCCCTCCACCATTAATAGGTCCAGTTTGACGAGTCCGTATTCTACTACATGCGGTACCCCTGTCGAGGTCTCTCGGTCCCCCCTCCTCCTCTTTTCCTCGCACCCTCTTCTCCTACTCCCTCTCCTCCAATACCCCCGCCCCCCCCTAGTCCTGCCCTGCCAGGTGTGTCTCACGCTACCCCTCTACCCTTGGTCATGCGTCAGGTAGCGTCCCCCTCCCCACAGTCTTCCTCATAGTCCCCTCTGCGGCCTTCGGCACTTTTGTGACGTTACTATAAATTCAGGGGGTGTTGGAGCTGGAGGTGCAGCCACTGGAGGAACTCGGTCTGGGGGTGCTCTCTTGAGGGGTGCTGGAGCTGGAGGTGCTGGCACTGGAGGTGCTGGCACTGGAGGTGCTAGTTCGGGGGTGGGGGTAGTTTTGGAGGTGCTGGCATTGGAGGTGCTAGTTCAGGGGGTGCTAGAGCTGGAGGTGCTGGCACTGGAGGTGCTAGTTCTTGGGGTGCTGGAGCAGGAGGTGCTGGCACAAGAGGTGCTGGTTCTGAGGAGACCGGCGCTGGTGGCACTACTACTGAGCCTCCCCATTGCCACGACACACGTCTCCCAGTTGACGGACGCGATATCAATGGTGGCAGACGTGATTGAAGCAGCCCGGAATGAGAACAATAAATGGTACCTCCTCTTGATTGATTTCGAGTAGGTGTACGACTCGGTGCGCGGGGATTTTATGATAGAGACGATCGCCAAGCTGTGTTTCCCTCCGCGGTTCGCACGGTGGATAGAGGCCCTGCACAGCGACGTACACATAAGGCTGTGTGTTAATGGATGGGTCGGGGAGCAGATAACGATGCGGAAAGGGGTGCGGCAGGGGTGTCCGCTTGTGCCGTACCTTTTCTTGTGCGCGGTGGAGCCTCTGAGCTGGATGGTGGAAGAGAGAAACCTGGGAATCGGAGAAGGAGGTTGCGACAGGTTGTCGTACGTGGGGTATGCGGATGACACTACCATGCTGTCGGAAGGGGAACAACAACTGAGGGATGCGGGTGAGCTGCTACAGGGATACGCGGCGGTGTCGGGTTTAAAGGTGAACACGGGGAAGTCCGCGGTCCTACCGTTGGGGAGGAACGTGGGACAACAGGTGCCAGACGGGGTGGAATATAAGTGGATAGGGAAGGATGAGGTAGAGAGACTCCTCGGGGTGATCGGGAGGGGGCGAGGAGACAACATGGGAGAAAGCATTTGTTAGAGCGGCGGGAGAGCTGAGTAAGTGGAAAACCAAATAGGGTTTTCAGTTGACCACGCACACTTACTGAAACTATGCGCCAAAAGCGCAGCACTGTAGCTTCTGGCGCATGGTTTCTTCCAGTTTTTCGCTCATAGCGCAGAATTAGCTCCTTTCAACCCAGTTCGTTTATCATTGGCCAGAAAATCGACGGACCGACAACCCCGCTTAAAATGACGGCCTGCGAACCGTCTACACCTGTATTTTGGTTAGACAAAAATATAAACCCCTCTTGGATGGCATGTTGTTTAGGGAAGCATCAACCATAAACACAATGCAGAAGTGTTTATAGTTGTTGCCATAAACGATCGGTTTTAACGTTCGTGACCTGTATTCTTTTTCGATGGCAGCATCGAGGGAGTCATCAACCCTAAATACCATAAATTGGGTGTTTAGGACTGATGCCCTTTTTCATGGGTAATTTTTTTCCGCGCAGGTAAAAATACAAGACTGGATATTTACTGTTCTCACTAACAGTAAAACATATTGGCCTCTAAATTTCGAACATATGGCCCAATGACCATCGAACTGCGTTGAAAAGAACTAATACTGCGCGATAAGCGAGAAACTGGCAGAAACCCTGCGCCAGAAGCTACAGTACTGCGCTTTTGGTGTAAAGTTCCAGTGATTGTGCGTCATCAACTGAAAACCCAAACCAAATATCTCACGACGGGAGCAAGGGTGACTGTTATCAACAGATATGTGTTTATGATCTTCCTCTTCCAAGTGCAAGTGTACCCGCCGGACGACCTGCTATGGAGGAAGGTGGAAAATTTGGTCAAAAACTTTGTGTCCGGCAATCATGTTAGAATCAGAAGCTAGAATGGCTGCATTGAATGAATTGTGGGTACAAGTACTAACCATAATATAGGGTTGTACCCCATATGGGCTACCCTACAATAGCCTACACAGAGTTAACACATATATAGTTTGACACACCCCCATAGGCAAGGTGGGGAAGAACAAGGGGTCACAAGACCAGTCAAGAAAAGCAAAGCAAGCTCAGGGTGGATCACAACGTCACCACACACTCCGAGCACAAGCAAAGGGCCACAAGGCCAGTTCACATGCAGAGGTATATATGCAACAACAACAATATAGTGATTACTACCTAGCAGAAGTAGGCATGCAGGTATACAATATAAATCACAGTACAAGCAAAGTCAAGAGGTGAGCAAGTGAGGCCAAGAAGGAACAAGTCCTAGAATAGTACAGAACCGCTGATGATCACGAGGCTGAAGTGCCTTGGTGAAGATATCAGCAGTGTTGGCCTAAGGCCACGTAAGCAAGACGAAGCTGTCCACGCTGCTGCAACTTTCGAGCAAGGAAGTACGCAGAGCGATGTGCTTCGTCCTGTGTTCCAGTCGGTGCTCCTGACACAAGGCAATCATGGCCTTGTTGTCGACGTAAAGAACTGGAGGAGAACGAGGCTGTGAAGAATGAGGGAATGAAGAAGAGAGGAGGAGGGATTGCACTAGCAGCAGTTGGCATACATATAGGAAACCCTAATTGGGTTGTATTCGCTATAGAGTACCCCACTGCAGGCTAGACAATTATAACATTCTGACACACCCCCATAGCCAAAGTGGGGTGTAATCAGCACAATGAGCAAGCAGGCATAGAGCAGGAGTTCACAATAGCGAGCAAAGCTAGAGTTACTCATAGCGGGTAAATGAGGAGGAGGAGGAACTGTGGAGAGAGAGAAGATGGGAGGCAACGAGTGAAGCTGCAGAGGCACGGGCAGAGGAGCGGCTGACTTAGTGGCTACCGAAGCAAGGGCGACGGACTACTGGAGTAACTGGCTCCGCGGCTATAGACGAGCGGCAGGAGCAACGGACCCACTGGCAACTGGTGCAACAGGCTCACTGGCTACCGAAGCAAGGGCGACGGACTACAGGCGCTGCAGGCGACACGACACCTACCTTCACACAATCTCCTCTAGCTGCCCCACACCCTCAACACACACCCCCTGCTCAAACCCTAGTTCCACTCCCACAGCACCCCCCTTTCACACACCCCTTGCTACACCCTAGGTTCACTCAAACCCCACCCCCTAGCACCACTCCGTCGACTCCCACACACCCACCCCCTTCAGCGGCAGCTTCAGCAATGGGAGACAGAGGAGGAGGAGGAGCAGGGGAGACCACACACCCGCCACCCCCTACTCGCCACCCCCAAACCCTAACACATGGCAGGGCGGGATGGCGGGTAGGGAGGTTATGGGGGGGGGGGGGAAGGGGGGGGCCGACGCGCGGCCTCCCAGGGCGCCAAAGCAGGCGGCAGAAGGGGCGACGCTCGCCCCCGCCCCCCAGGTCGCCCCTCCCGTCGCCTGTCAAGGCGACCTGAGGGGGCCGCGTGCGGCCCCCCAGGGAGCCGCGACTAGCGACGGGAAAAGAGGGGGGGGCGGTGCACGTGCCCCCGGTGCGCCGCGACAGGCGACGGAGCATGGCCGGGGCGGGGTCGAGGCAGGGCTGAAAGGGGCGGCGACGGGGCCGCAAGTGGCGGCGACGGGGCCGCTGGAGGCGGCGATGGGGCCGATAGGGGCGGCGACGGGGCCGCTACGGGCGGCGACGGGGCCGCTGGTGGCGGCGTCGGGGCCGATAGGGGCGGCGACGGGGCCGCGAGGGGGCCGCGAGGGGCCTGAAAGGTCGGCGACGGGGCCGTTAGGGGCGGCGACGGGGCCGCAAGGGGCGGCGACGGGGCCGCTGGAGGCGGCGACAGGGCCGATAGGGGCGGCAACGGGGCCGCGAAGGGGCCGCGAGGGGCCTAGAAGGGCGGCGACGGGCCGCTAGGGGCGGCGACGGGGCCGCGAAGGGGCGGCGACGAGGCTGCTGGAGGCGGCGACGGGGCCGATAGGGGCGGCGACGGGGCCGCGAAGGGGCCGCGAGGGGCCTAGAAGGGTGGCGACGGGCCGCTAGGGGCGGCGACGGGGCCGCGAAGGGGCCGAGAGGGGCCTCGAAGGGCGGCAACGGGGCCGCGAAGGGCGACGACGGGGCCGCTAGGGGCGGCGACGGGTCCGCGAAGGGGCCGAGAGGGGCCTCGAAGGGCGGCAACGGGGCCGCGAAGGGCGACGACGGGGCCGCTAGGGGCGGCGACGGGTCCGCGAAGGGTGGCGACGGGGCCGCTAAGGGCGGCGACGGGGCCTCTAGGGGTGGCGCGACGGGGCCGCTAAGGGCACGGGACGTGACTAGAGGGCGGCCCACGGGGCGTGCAACAGACAGTTGCAGCGGAAGCAGTAGGGTGGGCCCACACGCCAGGAGCGTAGATGCTCTGATAGCATGTGAAGAATGAGGGAATGAAGAAGAGAGGAGGAGGGATTGCACTAGCAGCAGTTAGCATACATATAGGAAACCCTAATTGGGTTGTACTCGCTATAGAGTACCCCACTGCAGGCTAGACAATTATAACATTCCGACAGAGGCGGCCCTCCCAAGTCGGTCAGCAGGTACGTGAGCCAGCGTAGCTCCTGTGCACGTGGGCGAGTCTCTTAGTGTCAGCAGTGACAAACACCAAGTCGTCGACGTACACGAGGATGTAGAATGGCGGCAGCGAAGTGTCGGTGCTTAGAAACAGCGACGGGTTAGCAGTCAAAGGAGCAAACCCAAGAGCCGCAAGCGTCGTCCTCAGTATGTCGTGCCAATCGCGAGGCGCCTGACGGAAACCGTAGACTGGCCACCGGAGGCTCTACCGGGTACCTGCAGGAAACGACCCAGTGAAGCCAGGTGGACGGCGCAGCCAGATCTCCTCGTGAAGGCTACCCTGCAAGAAAGCTGTGCTGAAGTCAAGAGAGTGAAGCTCGTAGTGACGCTGAGCGGCGACGTGCAGCAGCACCCGAAGAGTGGTCATCTTCGGGGTAGGGGAGAAGGTCTGGAAGAAGTCAACTCCCTGTCTCTTACTGAAGCCTCGTGCAATGTAACGCGCCTTAAAGACAGGCGGAGAGCCCGGCGGCCGCTTCACCCTGAAAATCCACATGCCACTGACGATGTTCGCTACAGGTGGGGGAACTACGTCAACGTAATTGCCCGTGAACTTCAAGGATGCCATCTCTGCGTCCATGGCTGACTGCCACTGAGAGGAGTAGGGACCCTCAATCGCCTCTGTGTAAGAGCGCGGGGTCGGGATGTCTGGTGCATCCGGGTCTCCCTCATGTGCAATCAGCATGGACACGAGATGAGGTACAGCAGCTGCAAAACACTCAAAGTCCTCCTGCCTATCCTCAAGGACGTCTGTGCGAAGAGCACAGTCACCTCCGACGGACGGAGGACAAGCAGACTCAGACTCAGCAACAAGACTAGTGGTGTAGTCGAGACGACAAGCAGCAGCAAAGTCAACAAGCTCAGCGACTAAGGCAGACGCGGCAGTAGACTCAAACGAAGGGTCAGTGACAACACTGGCTAGGAGACGCGTGACAGTAAGACTGGCAGCACGAACTAGGTCAGACTCAGGGTCCGGACCGGCAGGAAGAGAGGACGCAAGAGGAGACGGCAGGGGAACACGCTGTGGAACAGATGAAGGACGATGTGCCATAGTGTGCGTGCCGGGTACAGGAGGAGGACGCTCACAAGGAACATGACGACCAATGCGACCTGCGCGAGCAGGCGAGGCAGGACGAGATGCAGGCTCACGACGCTCTATAAGCGAGTCTGTTTGCTCAGTGTAAGGAGCAGGGAGTGGAGAGCATGGCCGTAACGGGAGGCCAGTAGAAGACAGGAGGCTAAGAACCTTGCGAAGCACGGAGTTAGGCAATGGTAGAGATGACGGTGACGGCGAAGTGAAGAACAGTCGTTGCTGTGCGGCACCACCAGCACCAGCACCCCCAGTATCAGCACCAGCAGCTCCAGCGCCTCCAGCAGCTCCAGAACCTCCAGCTCCAGCGCCTCTAGCTCCAGCGCCTCCAGCTCCAGAGCATGCAGCGCCACCAGCCCCGGCAGCTCCAGCACCTCCAGTACTAGCACCTCCGGGACCAGCGTGGCCCGTACCAGCAGCACCTCCAGCACTAGCAGCACCGGCAATTCCAGTACGGCCACTACCAGCACCTCCAAGACCAGCAGCTCCAACTCCAGGGCCGCCAGCCTCGACGCCTCCAGTGCCAGTGCCTCCAGCTCCAGCGCCTCCAGCTCTAGCACCTCCAGCTCCAGTGCCTCCAGAACCGGCACCTCCAGCTTCAGGGTCTCCAACTCCAGGGTCGATAGCACCAGCTCCAGGGCCTCCAGCTCCAGTGCCTCCAGCAGCAGCAACCCCAAACCGGCACCTCCAACTCCTACAGCACCACCAGTCCTGGCAGTTCCAGAACCTCCAGTACGAGCACCTCCAGAACCAGAAACACCAGTACTCTCAGCGCCTCCACGACGAGCAGCTCGAGTAGCTCCAACCGCAGCACCTCGAGCAGCAGGACCTCCAGCTCCAACAGCACGACTCCTCAGGCGGGCACGCCATGTAAGCCACTCTCGTAACTGCTATGGTGAGAGAGGCCCCCATAGGGAAAAGTGACCCGGAGAAATGCTAGCAGACTCAGGACTCTTCAAAGGTGACGTCCTGAGAGGACAGAACACTTCGTGAGGTGCGGTGGTAAAAGTGCCAGCCAAGCGCGTCAGGGGGGAGCCAAGGAAGACGCAGGGAATGGTGCGGAGGAGAGCTTGTCCGCGGACGTATCGCGGACAAGGGCACGAGCACCCTAGACCCGGAACACCGACGCATCGCCAACCTCTCCCGTCCAACGCAGTGTGGGCGAGGTCTGCGGAGACACGGAGCCAGAGGTTGAGCTGCTGCGCGGTGTACCGGACCGCAAATTGCCACAGAAAATGTGGAGCCGCTGCATGGATCAAAGAGGTACGAGCGATCTCCATGACCAAGCCAATGCGGCACTCAGCAACCCCATTTTACTGCGGTGAACGACTGTAGGACGCCCTTCCCCTAAAAGAAGGCCCGCAAGAGGTCGGAGGAGAACTCACCACCTCTACCAGAGTGCAGACGCAGGATAGGGAGGTCCTTGCGGAACCGCTCGCGGAGCTGGAGACGAACTGCTCAGATCCAAGGGATCAAGAAAGCAGGGACCTTATTATTGGTGCGCAAGGGGAAGACCGTGGTATAACGCGAGTAGTCGTCGACAACCAGCAAAAAGTACCGCTCACCGTCCCGTCCACGAACGCGGGCTGGGCCCCAAACGTCCATGTGGAGGGTCTGCAAGGGAGCCTCTGTCGAGGGAAACGAGGAGGAGTGAGGAGCGCGCTGCCGCCACTCGACACAAGGAAGGCAGGGAGGCGCAGGCGAGGCAGGGAGAGGAGGGAGAGACCTGGGAAGACCAGACACAAGGAGGTGACGGTGCGATGAAGATGTGGCAAAGAGGGGTGACCCAGACGGTGGTGCCAGAGAAGAGTCTGGTGCGACAGGGAGCGAAACGAACAAGGGGAGGCTACCTGACCTGACGCAGACACCTTACCAGTGGCAGCTACCTGAGGAGGCGCATTCACCAGTATGTAAAAACTCGACCCTGGCCATGGGTAAACGTGGCCAGGTGGCGGCCGGTCCGGGAGCACGTACTGATCGCCACACGCTGTCCTCCAAGGGTAAAGGTGTCAATCCTCTGGTCCTGGAGAACTGCGATGCTCACCAAGTTCGTAGAGAACGAAGGGAGGTGGAGGCCTAACAGTGAGCCAGACAGAACCACCGGGCACGGGAGCACAGTGGTGGACCGTGCAAGAACTGGGCCCCTTGAGGGATCAGCCAGAGAGACTGCAACAGGTGCAGTGAGTGGAGTGAGTGCAGTACGATCACAAAAAAAACAGCGGGAAGCACCTCAGTCAAGCGTGAAGATGTGCAAGGCCTTAGCAGGCGCAGTATCTGAGAGAGCAGACTCGCTCGCACCTAAGGCAGCAGCCTCTATACCTGGGTCAGGCGGCACACACAAGTAACAGTCTTCCTCAGCACTAATATTCAATGCATATATGGCAGCAAGGAGAGCATCATAGTCAAGAGCAGAGATGTCTACACCAGCCCTAAGCAACTCATGCCAGCGAGGGTGCTCGACTTCCTCGCCCATCTCCTCACGCCAGGCGTCGTCAAGGCGGGAGAAACAGCGGTGCTGGGTGTGGAACTTCCCGCATCTCTGACCAGCGTGGTCACCTGTGCGAATGACATAGAGGCAGCGACCACTACCCCCAGACGTCCCACTCTGAGCAAGCCACTCACGAAGCTACTGGGGCGTAAGAGCCTCACGGGGACATTGCTGCTGCTGCTGTCTCTGCCCAGCGCCAGCCCCTCCGCCCCGACCGCCACCACTGCCTCCACCGCCGCCCCGACCGCCACCGCCTCCGCCACCCCCTCCACCACCAATGCCTCCACCACCACTCCCACCACCGCCGCCGACGCCACCACTCCCGCCAGCACCCCCGCCACCACTCCCTCCGCCACCTCCTCCTCCTCCACCTCCTCCACCACCATCCCCCCCTGTGCCACTTCCGCTACTCTTGGCTCCCTTGCCCTTGCCGTCGCGGTGCCTCCCACTAGGAGCAAAAGCAGCACCAGCAGACTCAGCACCAAGGAAGTCAAAAGAAGTGGCAGTAGCTTAGGAGGGGGCGAGGGGAGAGGGAGAGCACCCTTCAAAGATGGGGTTGCGAGGAGCGCCACGAGCAGCACCCACAGTGACTATGCTAGTCTCGGCGGCTAGAAGTTGCTCCTCTAGGAGGTCGACAGTGAGATCGGTGGGACAGCGAGCGAGAAAGTGGTCCTTGACCGAGCGAAGAGAGTCAGGGAGACGGGTCACGATGAAGTGGAGGTTCCAGTACATCGGAGGCGGGTTCTTAGCTAAGAACTCTTTGGGGAGGGTGGCGCGAAGGCGAGTGTCACTGGTGCGGAGGTGGGTGATAAGATCGGCAACTGTGGCAAAGGTGGACAGCTCAGTAAACAGGTAGGGCAGCATGAGGCGGCTATGCGCAGCAGTGGCAGGGGAGGATTACTACAACATCGTACAGGGCCTTAGCGGTTTTGTGCTCGCCAAAATGCGTGAGTTCAGCTAACGTCAGGTGGTTGTGAACGGCTAGGCGAGCAGCAGCGTCACGAGTCTGCCACCGGGAATGGGCGCTAAGCTCAGCTGTGGCGGCAGGAGCGACTGAGGGACTAGACGTGTGGTCAAAGAGAGAGACATTGTCCTTGCTATAGCTCATTAGGAATAGCTGCAGGTCATCGAGCCAGGTCTCAAACTGAATCGGGCGGCCCTCAATATCAAACGACAGAACGCGGAGGGTGGCCATAGCTGCTGGCGCGGGACTGGCAAGGCAAAGCGATTGCAGGAAAGCAGCACTAGCAAGGGCGGCGCGCTGGGCTGAAGCGGGCGGCCGCAATAGGGGCAGGCGCAGAGGCGGCGCGCGGGCTTAGTGGGCAGGCGGCGCGCGGGGCCTAGCGGGCGGCCGAAACAGTGGCAGGCGGCGCACGGGGCAGCAGGCGGCGCACGGGGCAGCAGGCGGCCGGCGAGGCAGCAGGGCGGGCGGTGTGCTGGGCGTAGCAGGCGGCCGCGGCTGTGGCAGGCGGCGCTCGGGGCTGCAGGCGGCCGGCAGGGCAACAGAGCGTGCGGTGCGCGGGGCGTAGCAGGCGGCCGCGGCTGTGGCAGGCGGCGCGCGGGGCTGCAGGTAGCGTGCTAGAGAAAACGCGCGCTGCAGCAGTGGCGCGCGGCCAGCAGTGGCAGCGCGCAGGTGGCGTGCTCGAGGCAGCGCGACGCGGGGTAGGGCAGTGGGGTAACGCGGTAAGCACAGTCGGAATGGTGGGCCCGAAAAAAAAGTACGGTCCTACGGACCTACTGCTCTGAAACCATGTCAGAATCAGAGGCTAGAATGACAGCATTGAATGAATTGTGGGTACAAGTACTAACCCTAATATTGGGTTGTACCCCATATGGGCTACCCCACTATAGCCTACACAGAACTAACACATATATAGTTTGACAAATCATGCTGATACGGAACGGCACTTCAGGCTCTGGAGTGAAGATCTGATGTACATGCCCAGAGAGCAAGGAGGACTAGGAGTTATTGATCCGCGAGGGCGTGTCGACAGTGTGGCTCTGAGGTGTGCAGGTCTATCGTTGCGGCAGGAATGTGCGTTCAGGCGGGGGTTGTTCGGAGCAGGTGGCAGGGCTGCCCCTTGGCTAGGCAACGTTATATGCGCATAAGGCGGTGTTGCGAGGGGGGTTGTTCAAAACCAGGAGATGGGCAAGGCTGTGCAAGGCAGTTTTGAAGTCTACGGTGGTGGAGGTGCCGGTGGCTTCGTCGCGATGGGAAACAGAAGAGGAATTTCTGTGCTACAACAGCAACATTATCCACCCAGGGAATGCCCCGTTTGGTGGACTGAAAGGGACGGAGAAGCTGCGGGGGTGGAAGATGCCCGATATGGTGATGAGGAAGTGGGGTGGTACTAAGGTGCCGAAGTCGGAAGAGACGCTCGCGAGGGAACTGGAAGGAAAAAAGGAGGCGGAGATGGCACTTAAGGCTTTTCACGTGGCGTCGGAGAAGTGGCGTCAGTGGGTGCTGGCACCTCTGGTGGCAGAAGAGGTAGTGGGCCAATCATCTATGGTGTGTACTAAACTTCCAAGCGGGCATAGGTGCCTATGGGAGGTCTGTGGCAAACTGGGAAAGAAGGTGGAGCTCCGCGGGCTAAGCAGACGAGGGGAACGTACTGCATGGGATGTGAAGCTGGTGTTATGTTACGGCAGTATGGTACCAGTGAGGCTATCCAAAGCTCGGGCAGTAAGAGAAGTCGGGGATCCGAGGACACGGTTACCAAGTTCGACACTGTTTAAAGAGGAGGATGTGGCACCGCCGAGAAACTCAGAGAGCCGAGCGAGGGAGTGGAAGTAGTGGAGGTGAAAAGGATGAATTGGGAAGCTCGGGCGGGCAAGAAAATCAATTGGGGGCGGGGGAGAAAATTCCGTGACTCACTAGTGGTCCCAGCCAGGACAAGGGATATGCTGCTCCGTGTGAAAAACCTCAATCTCCAAGTTGGAGAGAGGGTTTCATTCCTGAATGGGGGGGTGAAGTGCGCGAATTGCAGTTTGGAAGAGACGATGGAGCACTGTTTGCTTGAGTGTGTGAGCATCGCACCGGTGGTTGGGGCAGTCAAGTCGGCGCTCACCATGATGCAGCCAGCAAGGCGGGTTGACAGTTTGGCAGATTTTGTTTTCGGGCAGATTTTGTTTTCCCGAAGCTACTATGGCGGCAATGGAAATGCTCCAGATCTGGTTGGGTTGGTGTGACGTGTCTCTCCGTAAGGTGAAGAAGTTTTAGGCACTGAAGGTGCTTCGGAGGATCAACGTGGAATTCAACAAGCATGCAAGGATCTACTGCAGCAGACCGAGCAGACAAACGCGGAAGGATAAGGCGAGGTGGAACTTGGCAGATGCTGAGGCACGTGTCATGCAGCGGATTTGTGACAACGGGGCAGTAGGGTTGAGGTGGCAAGGTTGTTCCCAGTCCATCTGCTCAAACCCGAGGACCTTCGTGAGACCACCATAGAGTTCGCAGGGAGGGCTAGGTGGTTTTCACCCAGCTTGAGCCCTGCTGCATCAGTTACGAATGTAGCGTTTTGCCTGTACAACTTCTTGTAAAAAAAAAAACAAACAAACAAACAAACAAAAAAAAAAAATTTGACACTCGTCTCCAGGCGGCCCGCAGACGTGAGCGTGAGGAGCATGAGAGGTTGGAGCTAGAGAGGCGGGAGTTGCAACAGTTGGACCTGCAGGAGCAATAGGAGGAGGAGCAACAGCAGCCGCCGCAGCTATCTCTCGTACTGCAATTGTTCCTAGTCGTGAGTGGCCTTCAGGCCCTTAGTTTTCCCTCCTCTTCTCCTGTCCGCTCTCAGTCTCCCCCTGCCTTCGGTCCAACGTTTCCTCCTCCGGACGCGTCACCCGTCGTTTCCTCTCTTCCTCGGTTCCCATCTCCTCCCATTGTCCCGCACTCCCATGTCCGTCCCTGTCCTCCACGTGCTCGCCCTTCCTCTCCTACTGACAACCTCCGCACTGCCCTCTTTTGTTCTAGTCATCGCTATTCTCCGCCTGAGTCTGTTCTCCCGTCACTTCCTAAGTTGTCTCTCACTGACTCCTCTACTACTATCTCTGACCACCACTGTGCTGCTCGCCATGTTGTCTCTCGTGTCCTCGCCTCTCTTGTGAATGACCCTCGTGCCTCTCCGTCGTCTGTCTCGGCTCTTACTATCACTGTCGGTAACTTTACTACGCCACTCGTCTGGTGGCTGCCCGTCCTCTGTCCGTTGGGGGTGAGTCTGCCCTTGGATGTGACGTCCTAGAGGACAAGCAGTTTGAGTTGGAGTTCATAGCAGCCGCTTCACCCTCTCGCTGGGCCATGCTGCTTTCCCCTGAGGGAGACCCGGACGCCCTTGACATACCGATTCCTTGCACGTACCGTAAGGTAGTGTCACGGGAGTGGGCCTCTCAGTTGAAAGCGGCTATGGACTCAAGTTGGCTTCTTGGAGATCCACAAGCACCTACGTGGATGCAGTTCCCCCTCCTATGGCGAACGTTTTCAATGACATGTGGCTCTTCAAGGTGAAGCGGACACGTGGATCACCGCCTGCGTTCAATGTGCACTGCGTGGCTAGGGGCTTCAGCCAGCATGAGAGAGTTGCCTTCTTCCAGACCTTCACCCTGACCCCGAAGATGACGACTCTTCGGGTGTTACTTTACGTAGCAGCACGGCGATACTACGAGCTGCATTTTCTCGACTTCACTACGTTTCTCCATGGCCGCCTACATGAGGAGATCTGGCTGCGACGTCCTCCTGGCTTCACTGACATCTTCCCACTTGAAACCCAGTGAAGTCTTAGGCGACCAGTCTACGGTCTCCGCCTGTCGCCCCGTGAGTGGTACGACGCTCTTCGCTCCACACTTCGTGACCTTGGGTTTCGTCCTTCCTCTGCCAAACCGTTGATGTTTATTCGCACTAGCCACACTCCTTTCTTTATACTGGTCTACGTCGACGACCTGGTGTTTGCTACTGCAGACAGGCAGCACTAACTAAGGTGAAATCCGAACTACAAAAGAGTCACACGTGCACTGACCTCGGTGAACTGCATCACTACCTTGGCCTGCAAATCACCAGGGACAGAGCCGCTCGCACCATCACACTGACTCAGTCACACATGGTGCAGCAGGTCCTTCAGCGGTTCGGGTTTCAATTTTCCACCACACAGCCCACTTCTCTTGCCGTCGACCACAGACTCACTGGCCCTTTTCCTGACGAGCCCTTGAGTTCAGTGGTCCCTACGCAGAGCTTGTGGGCTGCCTCATGTACTTGATCAATTGTACTCGACCGAACCTTGCCTTTCAACTCAGCGTCCTCTTTCGCTTTGGTGCGACTGTTGGTGCAACCCTACGGTTTGCACTCGGCTTGTTCTCCGTGTGCGTGCATGCGTGTGTGCATGGAATGGAAGAAGTGCATGAGATGATATATATTTCATGCTTGTGTGTGTATGATGGGTCATGATGTCGAGTGTGTGTGTGTGTGTGTCGAGTCAATAGCGAGTTATCGCTAGTCGCGTGTTACGCGATCATTTGTGAGTCCCGTGCGGTTTCTATTTTGTCGTCCGCGGTTTCTATTTTGTCGCTTGTCGAACGTTCTGCGTGTCGCAGGTGTGTGCAGCAGACCCATCAAGAACTCAAGGATGAGTTTTGTGATGAGGAACCGGAGCCTTGGTTCAAGCTTCAAGTGATTCCGAAGCTCGCCAAAAGGGTACACCTCAAGATGTTGAAGATAGTTCCATTACAATGTGTAGTGTAACAATTCTGCTGGTGTAGACCCTTGTGGAGGGTAGTTTCGAGACCCTTCGTGGTTGGGGATAGTGTGGCACTGTTCCACATCACTGTACCTCGGCTCTTGGGGTTTGTAGGAGCTGGGAGTCATTCCCAACTCCTAACTCTTGCTAACTCTTCCTATCTTGTGTTCTAAGACAATAGTGGCTGCCATAGTGCCGTTCGTTCAAACCAACGCTGTGTCGACAATACTTGGTAAAATCGTGCGATCTAAATTGCCTATTGTAGGCGACGTTAAGACGCTCCGGATCCAAGTTGAATCAGGTCATTTGAAGCTGTGACAAAAACGCTATTGTGAGGATCTAGGATCGAGCTCAGAAAAGAGAATGAGAATTGAGTCGAATTGAATGATCACCTGGGTACAACACGAGGCTATATATAGGCTCGACACAAGGCCCCGTAACCAGGTGTTACGCGAAGGTTCCGCGGGCCACGTAGCGTCCCGAACGGATCCTTACCGAACTCGGTAGAAGGCAATTCGGTGGCAACCGAAAAGCCAGAATTCGGTGCACGCAACCTAGCTCGGTGCTATAACTATAATAAAATATAGGAAAGCACCTAGCCTAGGAAATCAAGCAATTCATGCATGCATATGATTATCCTATGCTAGAAATAGCATGATAAAGTAAAGGCAAGCAAGCATAGCTGGCATAAGCCGTCGTACTCTCACACGTTTCCCCCTCAAAGCTCGGTGGCGTGAGATACACCCTGCTTGACAAGATAGTCCTTGAGAGCACGGCGTGCGTTGCCCATATCAGCTTCTGCAACCCAACTGTCCTCAGTGGGGTCGTATCCCTTCCAGCGTATCAAGAACTCGAGGGTTTTGCCGTCGCGGCGCCGATGAGAGAGAACGCGCTCGATCTCTTACTCGGGTTCATCCTGCACAAGAACAGGTGGAGGTGGCAGTAGCTGCCGTCCCTGGAACTGTTGGTTGGGGTCCTTGTAGGGTTTCAGTAGCTGCACATGGAAAGCGTTGTGAAGCTTCCAAGTATCTGGTAAGCGCAAGCAGAATGTAACAGGTGTCACCTGTGCCTCAACGAGAAAAGGACCACAGAAGCGAGGCCGGAGTTTGGATGGGAGGTGAGACAGGTTCAAGTTGCGCGTGTCAAGAAGCACCTGATCTCCGACTGCTACTGACTGATCTCGTCGCTGACGATCGGCATACTGCTTCTGGGAGTTCAGCATCGTGGTGAGACGTCGCTGAGTCTTCTCCCATAGCTGCTGCATGGTGGTGACGAAGTCATGTGCGGCTTGGACGTGTGCCGGTGTAGTTGGCTGCTATGGTGTGAGTGGTTCCCGTCCGTAACACAGGAAGAAAGGAGTTTTCCCTGTGGCCGCATGTGATGCGTTGTTGTAAGCGAACTCTAGGGTCGGTAACTTGTCAGTAGATCTGCACGGTGGATGCCCGATTGATCCTAATGGGGGTTACAGGCGCGTTTGCCTGAAGGGTTATGGGCGCACTCTGACCCGCTACTTAACAAGCCATTTTATCCCAATGGTCTAGTGGTTGGGATTCTTACATAAGTGTGTGTCCCAGTGGCTGACGTCGTCCTTGCAAGCTGTGCGCAGTAACTGTTCAACCACTTGATTGAGTCGCTCTGTCTATCCGTCAGTCTGTGGGTGGTATGCTTAGGACATCGCAAGTTTGGTCCCCAATAATCCCATGAGCTCCTTCCAGAACTTACTAGTGAATTTGGGGTCTCTGTCTAAGATGAGTGTAGCAGGGATGCCGTGGATGGTGATG